CTAAATTGGTTTTATTTTCTTTGATGATTTTCATCACATTCAGGATAAATTCTATGCCTTCTTGGGGCTCCTGCTATCCCTCCATCCCTCAGTCATGAGGTGTGAGATATCCAGCGCCAGCCAAGATGAATAAACCAACTACCATCTCCCCTTCCCACTGGCAATAACTAACACTGTGGAGAAAGTACAAAACCCCGAAACCTAAGGACCCCAAAGTGAACAACCGGCAGAGAGAGAACAAAAGTCAAAGCCATCAGCCTCTGAGAGTTGTGTGGCGTGTTCAACTCTGATCTCCTGGATTTACCCGAAGCGCAGGCTAAGTGCTGGAATCACCACAGGCGTTGTCAGAAACCCCCTGGGAGAAATTACATCTTCCCACCCAGAAGTTTGGGAAAAGCAGGTCCTGCAGGACAGTGTGAAAGAGCACTTGCTGACTTTTTCAGTGTGCTTTCTCTGTCTCTCTGCCAGCCCTGTCCTGAGGCTGGCCCCAGCTACTAGGCTGCACTGCCGAAGCAGCGGTGGTATCTGAATGCCTATAGCTCGCAGAGAACAGCTATCTCTGCCTGCCCAGAGCTGCTAGGGAAGGAGGCCCTGTGGTATCAAAGCGAGCGGCAAACCCTGTGCACATCTTCTTCTTGTTTCTTTCCTTTTGCATCCCCATTCACAAAGAACAGCACAATACTGCAGGAAATTAAAATTCCAAGAGAACCCCAGCTTCCTGGCTAGAAGAACCAGGAAAGGGAGGGTCGGAGAACATAGGGAAATGCCAAAGAGGAAAAAGCTGGGGAAAGATGTCTTTTAATTCTGCAGAGAACTTGATACAAGTCCCAGACTCAACTCCCAGTTACCCCTTGCATGACAGAACCCAAATAAGCATGGGAAAGTCTTCAAGAATTCAACTATCAAGTTCCCAGACTGAACTCTAAGAGCCTCATGAGACATAGAGACCTGAACAGTACAGTGAAGTCTTATAAACTGGACTGACGTTAGAACCACCACCCACAGCAGGTGAGACACAGCTCGTAGTCTGAACCTAAGCCAGTTAATTGTCTGCTAACACAAACAACAAGTCAGCATTCACTAGAACATTGTAAGAGAACTTGAAATCTTGCATCATAATATTTAAAATATTCTGGATTCAATAAAAAATTACTCAGTGCTCAAAGAACCAGGAAAAATTGGCCAATACTCAAGACAAAAGGCAATCAAAAGATACTAAAGTCAGTGAGACTCAAATTGGAACTAACAGATATTGACTTTACAGCACCAATTATAATTGAAAGGTAAATGTGAACATTCTTGAAATAAATGGAAAGATAAAGTTCTCAGCAGAGAATGAGAATATATATATATATATATATGATGTATGTACTTAAAGATATTTCAGAAAGGTTGTGGAAAGTGTAATTAAAAGGTAAATTTATTCTAGTGCAAAAATATTTTGAAATTCATACATATAAGAGGTCTTCAAAAAGGTCATGGGAAATGTATATTATGAGACAAATATGCATGGATTTCAAGTTTTCTGAACCAAAATAAACATCTTTTATATTTTTCTATGAGCTTTTTGAAGTACCGTTTGTGTGAGTGCATGTGTGTGTGTGTGTGTGTGTGTCTGTATGTCTCCAAGTGAAAATTGTAAAACTGAGAGACACAAAATCTGAAATTAAAAATTCATTGCGGGCTGGCGCCGTGGCTCACTAGGCTAATACTCCACCTGCGGCGCCGGCACTCCGGGTTCTAGTCCCGGTTGGGGAGCTGGTTCTGTCCCAGTTGCTCCTCTTCCAGTCCAGCTCTCTGCTGTGGCCCAGGAGGGCAGTGGAGGATGACCCAAGTGCTTGGGCCCTGCACCTGCATGGGAGACAGGAGGAAGCACCTGGCTCCCAGCTTTGGATTGGCGCAGTGCGCCAGCCACGGCGGCCATTTGGGGGGTGACCCAACGGAAGGAAGACCTTTCTGTCTCTTCCACTGTCTAACTCTGCCTTTCAAAAAAAAATCATTGCAAGGATCTATACCAGAATAGAGATGACAAGAAAAAGTCCATGAACTTTGAAATTGACCAGTAGAATTATACAATAAGAAGAATGGAGAGAAAAAGATGGAAAAATTACCACAATCTCAGGGGCCTAGTGATCCAACATTCATGCCAATGGGATTACAGAAGGAGAAGAGAAAGAGACTGATTCAGGAAATACATTTGAAGAAACAACGGCAAAAAACTTTCCAAATTTGCTTAAAGTCAAATATTTATGGATTCAAGAAGCTCAATGGGGGCCTACGCTGTGGCCCAGTGGGTGAAGCCGCCACCTGTAGCGCTGGCATCCCATATGGGCTCTGGTTCAAGTCCCGGCTGCTCTACTTCAGATCCAGCTCTCTGCTATGGCCTGGGAAAGCAGTGGAAGATGGCCCAAGTCTGTGGGCCCCTGCACCTATGTGGGAGACCTGGAAAAAGCTCCCGGCTCCTGGCTCCGGATCAGCTCAGGCTTTGGATCTGGCCACTGCAATCATTTGGGGAGTGAACCAGCATAATGGAAGACCTCTCTCTCTCTCTCTGGCTCTACCTTTCTATAACTCTGCCTTTCAAATAAATAAAATAATTTTTTTTAAAAAAAGAAGCTTAATGAAACCAAAATAGGTTAAACTCAATGCATCATAAGCAAAGTGTTGAAAATCAAAAATAAAGAAAAATATTGAAAGTCACGGGGAAAAAAAATGGAAAGTTGCACATATGGGAAAATTATGACTGCATATTTCTCATTAGAAACTCTAGAACCTAGATGGTGAGACAAGATCTTTAAAGTGTTGGGAAAAAAATCAAAATAAAGTGTTAATAAGAAAACACTGTCAAGTCAAAGCTGAGCGCCTATATTAATTTCAGACAAAGTAGACTTCAGAGAAGGGAAAGTTACCAGAGATAAAGAAGGGCATTTTGAAAGACGAAAGAGTAAATTCACCAATAAGACGTGATACTGAATGCATGTGTACCTAAAACAGAGCTCCACGATACATGAAGCAAAAGCTGAAAGAACTAAAGAGAAGTAGACAAATCCACAATTTTATGTAAAGACATCGTAAGATCGTTAATCCTAAAATCGTGACCATAAATCCTCTGAGAAGATATTATTATGTAGGTAGATTGGTCCTCTCTGCTTCCATAAGAAAGACCTCAGTCCAGACAACTTAGAGTGAGCACAGCACCATGGCCAGTGTGGGACTGTGAGCATGGTAGACATCAGCTTCTTGTCGAAATTGTACCATAGTGATTTTCCAACAATATCTCTTTGAAACACTTCAGATACAGTGCTAAGAGTGTGTTGTGGGGGCTGGCGTCATGGTGACCTCGGTTAAGCCACCGTCTGTGATGCTGGCATCTTGGGCACTGGTTTGAGTCCTACTTCACTTCTGATTCAGCTCCCTGCCAATGGCCCGGGAAAGCAATGGAAGACAGTGCAAGTGCTTGGTCCCCTGCCTCCTATGTGTAAGACCCAGAATAAGCTCTTGGTTGCTTGATTCTGCCTGGCCCCGTCTTGGCTGTTGTGGCCATCTGGGGGATGAACCAGAGGATGGAAGATCTCTCTCTCTTTCTCTCTCTCTCTCTCTAACTCTGCCTTTCAAATAAATAAATAAATCCTTTTTTTTTTATAAAAAAAAAAAAAAAAAAAGAGTTTGGGCTGGCGCCGTGGCTCACTAGGCTAATCCTCCGCTTGTGGCACCGGCACCCCGGGTTCTAGTCCCTGTTGGGGCGCCAGATTCTGTCCCGGTTGCCCCTCTTCCAGTCCAGCTCTCTGCTGTGGCCAGGGAGTGTAGTGGAGGATGGCCCAAGTGCTTGGGCCTTGCACCCGCATGGGAGACCAGGAGGAAGCACCTGGCTCCTGGCTTCAAATCAGCGCAGTGTGCTGACCGAAACGCACCGGCCATAGCGGCCACTTAGGGGGTCAATCAACGGAAAAAGACCTTTCTCTCTGTCTCTCTCTCTCTCTCATTGTCTAACTCTGCCTGTCAAAAAAAAAAAAAAAAAGTTTGTTGTGGGGTCAGGCACTGTAGCACAGCGGGTTGAAGCTCTGGCCTGCAGCACTGGCATCCCATATGGGCGCTGGTTCTGGTCCCGGCTGCTCCACTTCTGATCCAGCTCTCTGCTATGGCCTGGGAAAGCAGTGGAGGATGGCCCAAGTCCTTGGGCCCCTGCATCCGCATGGGAGACCTGGAGGACGCTCCTGGTTCCTGACTTCGGATCGGCACAGCTCTGGCCGTTGCAGCTATCTGGGGAGTAAAGCAGCGGATGGAAGACCTCTCTCTCTGTCTCTACCTCTCTCTGTAACTGTGTCTTTCAAATAAGTAAAATAAAATAATTATTAAAAAAAGAGTTTGTTGTGGACGGATATTAGTTTGCATCCACCATTCATTCTTCCAGTTCTGACAACAGTGTACAGATTTTGCATTGTCCTCCTCTAAATCTTCCTAGCTTAAGCCACAATTCAATCAGTGTACCCTTCCTCTTAACTTCTGTGACTGGTCCGAGATGGACACACAACCCACCAGAGCCAGCAAGATGCAAGAGAGTATTTGCTGGGGCTTCTGGGCAGGAGAGTTCCCTTTCTCCTCTTCAGGAACCACCAAGAAAATGATGGCCATCTGGCCAGTGGAGTGTGTGTGAGGGGATGCGATCTGGGCAGCCTACAGTGCTTTTGAGAGAGAGAGAGAGAGAGAGAGAGAGACTTGACTGTGCAGAGCCTGAGGTAAAGCCTACACTGTGGAAGGTCAGACAGAAAAGGCACTTGATGGCTTTGAGTCTCTGGGTCAAACCTTACCTACAAAACATCTCAGGTATTTCTCTCAGGAAATTGAACGAATTTTTCCCTTTTCCTTTTTTTTTTTTATTACATTCATTTGGATTGGGTTTTCTGTCATTCACCATAGCATCCTAACACACGATTTACTCTGAGTTCGTCATCTCTCTCTAAACCCCATATCTTTCACCAGAAATGAAAACAAGAGTCATGTGAAGCAAATGCTGTTACATTTAATGTTGCACAGTATTCTTACTTGTACATAATAAGGATATGCAAGTGCTTTAATGTAGAAATAACAGTCAATGAATAGTGGTACACATAAAAATGGAAGCATTCAGAAAATACAACCATAAGCAAAATATTTCTATATCTATATAGGATATTATTCACTCTGGTTTTGCTAAAATGTTTTTTAATGATGCATTTCATTTTATTTGAAAGACAGGATTACAGATAGAGAGAGGAGAGCCAGAGAGAAAGAGAAATCTCCACCTGCTGATTCACTCCCGAAATGGCCGCAATGGCTGGAGCTGGACCAATCCAAAGCCAGGAGCTTCATCTGGGTCTCCATGTGGATGCAGGGCCCCCAGCACTTTGACCATCTTCTGCTGTTTTCCCAGATGCATTAGCAGGGAGCTGGATCAGAAATGGAGCAGTTGGGACTTGAACTGGTGCCCATATGGGATGCAGGCAACACAGGCAGTAGCTTTATTCCCTACACCACAGCACCGGCCCCTGCTAAAATCTTTGAAGAACATCACTCAACTGATCGTCTCCTGGGAGAAATGTTTGCTGTCATCAACCACCTGTCATTAATTTTTAAAATTTTTCTTTTTAACTGACATATAATATTTGCACTTACTTATGGGATAGAGGATTTGAATTTGATATATGTCTCCGTGTATTGATCAAGTCAGAGTCCTTAGCATTTCCATCTCCTGACTTTATTGCTTCTGTGTGTTGGGAACCTTCCAACTTTTCTCCTCCAGTTATTGTGAAATGTGTAATAGCTATAGACTGTCATTACTTACCATGCTGTATAACAGTAGAACCACTTCGCTCACTTATAGCAATGTGGAGAGAACTGAATGACATTATGTTAAGTGAAATAAGCCAGGTACAGGAAAGACAGATACTCCATGTTCCCGCTCATTTGTGGAAGCTAAAACAGTTGATCACAGAAATAGACACTAGAATAAAAATCCCTATTGCCCACAAGGAGAAGGGGAGGGAAGACAGAGAGGGTAGATACTAAGTACCAAAAAAGCCACCTGCAATTCTTGAAGACTAAGAATAAATTCAGGAGGTCCAGTCTTCTGCAATCGTTTTGGGACTCCAGGACAAGACTGGCTTCCAAATTCTTCCCTGAGCTTTGTATTTCAGGTTCAAGCTACCTCTTTGAGGAAAAATTCTTTAAGTGGAAAGCATGCTCATCTCTAAACTCACTGGGAATGATTCAAGCTGTCCCGCTGAACAGCAAGCCAGGGAGCTCCTCAAATGAACGCGCTTTTTGTGGATGAGGAGTGGTTAGATGGAGAGAGTGAGATGGAGCTAATTCTGGGTAGATATGGAATTCGAGAAATTGCTCTTCACATGGCATTCATCAAGGGCCTTCAAGGGATTCGGAGGTGGAGGAAGTGCTGTACTGACCAGGCAGTTGTTCCTAGACCAGAAGGGGGTATCTCCCACACCTAGGGCTCTCACTCAGGGTAAAGCATAAAAGGGCTCAGGAGGCACAGCATGCAAGAAAGGCTTATGGGAAAGAGGTGTCATATCAGAGAAGCTCCTGGCCAGGTGGCCTCAAGAAGTCGGGGAGGAGTTCAGCATGATGGAGATGCTAGCCAGGAGGAAGGGTGTGAGGAGAGACATGGAAAAGAGGAAATACGCAGCAGTGGGGGGACCACTGAGTAGCCTTGAACCACCATCTCTGAGGGAGCTCTGCTAGGTAGGGGAAGTCTTAACTCCTGATGACAAGTCCATTGCTTCTCGGCCTTTTGGCTAAGATCAAGTGTAGTATCTGATGACAAGTCCAGAGGTAACAGACACCTGTCAACACTCCACAGAGTCCATGAGCGTCTACAAAAGGACTCAGTCCATGTCTCTGAGCTTGATTTCCAGCTCTGCCACTTAAAACCCATCGACCTTAGACAATCTGTTAACTCTCTCAGCCTCAGGACCCAGCTGTGAAAAAGGTGCACCTTACAGGATTAGCATGAACATCAGGAGAGGCAGTGGGACACAGCTTTGTCACTGCTGAGTACTTGCTTGTGAAGGCAACTTGGTCGTGTGTGTGAAGCACCTCAGTAAATGTCCCTCTTAGTCTTTTATTACTGCTGCATGAGAGATCTTTGAGACCAGGGAGCATGCCAGGTTTAGAACTGGGTACATAGTGTATCTATTGTTTTGTTTAAAGGTTGCTGCATGGGTGAGTTGAGTAAATGAATGAGTAAATGGGTGAACAATGTTCAGAGCCCTCCAACTAGACAATCAACTCAGCCTCCTCACTATGCTGAAAGCCTGCTGACTCTTTGATTGACTTTTGGGCTCATGGCGGCAGTGGTGATCATTCGGTATCATGGTAGAGAAGGAAGCCAGTGAAGATGGAATCGTTGACATTGTCCGCGTAGAGCCCATTGTGGTCGCCATCGCCATACACCTGGAGCCAGACTTGGTCATCCACCTGCAAGTGGAGGAGGACCGAGCCGGAGGCCTGGTCCACGTTCTTGTCCTGGTACTGGTCATAGGTGAAGAGCATAGCCTTGTCCTTCTTGAAGAGGCTGACCTTCACGTCCTTCATATAGACGGTGATGTGGTAGGAGAAGTAGTACAGCCCAGGGATATTGCAGCGGAATTTGCCCGTGGTGCTGTCATAGTGGTTCTGCTGATTGTAGAAGATTTTAGTAAAGCGAATGGGCACGTTGGGGATGGTGACCCGGCCCTCCAGGCCCACGCTGAATGCTGAGCGGTAGACATAGGCACCTTCTCCGGGCTCTCCTTTCCTGCCCGGGCTTCCTGGAAAGCCTCGGGGACCTTCAGCTCCAGTCACTCCGGTTTCACCCGTGTCACCCTTAGGACCAACAAGACCTAGGGAATGAGAAGACCTCAGTGATCCCAGGGATCGCAACTAATGCCTGGGTGGATTGCAGACTAAAACACTGTCCCCATGGCTTCCACCTGCAACCTGCTTGAAGCGATGTCCCTGCCTCCTTCCTCATTCCAGCAGGCTCTTGCAACCCGTGTCACCCGAAGTCTCCACCCTAGCCCTCCCACCTGCCAACTCATCATGTGCTGCTTCAACCAACCACAATTTTGCCCCTCAAACCCCTCTCCCTGGGATGCCCTCCCTTCTCCATTCGGCCTGCCGGTTCTTCAAAGCATCCTCCTAAGACTTGATTGTTAATCCAGGTCTGCACTGAGTGCATTGCACATTCATTCATGTTCAGCTTGGCTTATTTTGAGCAGACTTTCTCACAGTAATCACATAATCTCATGCATTGGACTAGACCGAGAACTCTTAACTAGACCAGGACTTCTCCCAAAGCAGGACTGTGTGTTTCAGGAGGTATACCCTTAGTATGATGGATTACCACTGGTTGAAATGGGAATTGAGTGGAAAGGAAGGAGAACAGGGAGGGGAATATATCGGGAATAGGGATGAGAATAGGGCTGGGAAAGGAGGTGGGGCAGGAGGCGCAGATGGAGAGGAGTCAAAGGGTACTTAGTTGTAGAGGTACCATGTATTCTCACCCCTGAGAGGGCAATCCCAGATCCCCCTCATGTTGCCCATGGGTCACATAAAAGCTTCACTTCTTCCCTGTGTTAATAACTAATGCCTTCAAACACCCTGGAAGCCCTCAACTACCCAGGACAGGTTTCTGATGAAGGAGGCCAAAAATCTTGTTCTTACCTGCATCTCCTTTTTCACCCTTCTCACCGGGGGTTCCATCTCTGCCATCACGGCCTGGGGTCCCATTGTGGCCAGGATGCCCTGGGATGCCTGCTATCCAACCTGCACAGGCCCCTTTGGGTGCAGGAATCAGGACTCCTGGACTTTCGGTCGTGCTGTCCTGCCCATGACTGGGCAGGGCTAAGAGCAGCAGAACAGCTTGCAGCAACAGCATCCTGAGCCCTGGAATGCACACGTGCCCCATCAGCTACGCGAGACAGAGCCCAGCAGCACCCCCAGTCAGCACCCCAGTAGCTGAGCACCTACTCAGGCTCCAGACACCACACAGAGCCCCCTTCTGAGACCTGCTCTCTCAATACTCACCTGTCCCCAGAAGGCTTTTCTGACTATTTCAACCCATTTTGTTCTCTTTCTACCCTGAAATCTGCAATACTTAGCATTATGTCCTGAGTGGAGTATCCTTTTCTCAGCAAAATTGTGAGTTTGGGGATGGGGATGGGGATGACCCTTCCCTAATTTTGCACAGGGAAAGTCCCAGTAGTGGAATTGCCAAGAGTTTACCAGGAACGATGACTCGGATCGCTTCATTCAGCCCTAACATGCTTCTGTCTCTGCTTCTTTTCATCTTCTCCCCCCTCCTCCTTTTCTGTCTACTCTACTCTATCTTCTTTCTCTCCCACTCCCTTTTTTCCTCTTCCCATTGAAAGAATTAAAATTGCAGGCCTAAACCTCCTTTTAAAGCTGAAACCCCGTGGGGCGGGGTTTGTATAGTTTCAGTACCTTATCTTTCACCTGTGTGAGGATGAGGGGCCAAAGCTGTGTAACCCTTGCCTCACCTGTCATTCCCGCTACTGAGATATCCTTTGAATTCCCCACGCGTGTTTTGAGTTTCCTGCGATGTGAGTTAATTTGCTAATGATTTCCCCGCGATGTGAGGTGCTTCGCTAAATGGTACCATGTGGAATGTCTCTGAAAACCCTATAAAAACCCTGACCTTTGACTTCTTGGCACAGCTCTGTTCCTTCATGTTCAGAGAGCCCCAGCATGCTGGTTCAATAAACCCCTTGCTAATTGCATGAGAGGTCTCTTGGAGTCGTTCATGGGGCGGTGGACATTTCTCGACCCTAACACCATCTCCTGGGTCATGTTGGATCATTTGGCATGTTATGCACATGTGTGTTCTCGTGCATGTGTGGATGAACATAGCCATGTACACACAGAGCTGTACCTTGAATTAGACAACTAGAGACACATTGATAATCTACTGATCCTTTGCCTGGACTGCCTTCAGCTGCCCCTCGTCACTGCTGTTATGGTTTGTATAATAGTCTGCATGTCCTCCAAAGGCCCAAGTACTGGGGGCTCAATTCCCAAAGCTTTATGCTAATGATTCAGAGATGCATGTTAATGGTTAATGGGTTAAGGGCAAAGCTGCGACCTAATACTGGCATCTAGGAGGTGAGTCCAGTGGGAGGTCTCTGGGTCACTGGGTGCCTACCCTTGGAAGGCAGTTCACAGAGACAGCTGGGTATTTAAGCCAGATTTCGCCCAGCTTCCCTCTCTGCATCCTGACTCTCCACATGATTGCTCCTCTCCGCATGCCAAGCCAGTTGCCAGTCTAGTGTGGCCACCTGATTTGGAATTGGAAACCTCTAAGGTGTAAGACAAAATACATCCTCCTTCTGAAGCTCTGAAGCATTTGAGTGAAAGTAGCGGAGCGATGACTAACACACCAACCTAATCCCTACTCGCCCTTCAGGAAGGCCTACCTGTCCTGCCCCTTCCAGGTTAGCTGTTCCTCGGATGTATTCCCAAGTGCCCTGGCTACTTTACTATTACACTTCTTGCAAGGACTGGAATTCCCATTTTGTTTAGTTACTTCCCTTTTAAACAACACACGCCCGGGTCAAGCCTACCATACTACTAGCAAAGTATAAGGATTAAATAAAATTTTTATTTGAAGTTCATCTTTTCCAGATTTTTAATATTTATTTATTTGAGAGAGAGAGAGAGAGTTCCCATGTGTTGATTCACACCTCAAATGCCCAAAACAGCTGGGGCCAGGCTGAGAACAAAGCAGGAAGCCAGGAACTCAGTCCAGGTCTCCCATGGTGGTGGCAGGGACCCCATGACTTGAGCCAACACCGCTGCCTCCCAGGGTCTGCATTAGCAAGAAGCTGGAGTCAGGAGCTGCAGATGAGCGTCAAACTCTGAGATAGGACACACGCATCTCAACCAGCAGCTTACATGTTAAGCCAAAATGTCCAACCCAATAGATACTTTATAATTAGAAAAAAAGAGAGAGTCAGAGGGAGGGAGGGGAAAAGGGAGGAAGGAATAAAGATTGGAAGGGGGAGGAAGGCGGGAAGGTGGAAGGGACTTGAGATACACACTCTGGGAGCTCCAGCAAAGAGTCCAAGTGGCACAGGCAGCCAGGGCCTTGGCACAGGCAGCCAGGGCCTTTCCCGTCTCGGAACTGCCCTCGGCATCGCCTCTGAGAAGAGCGGAATGCCCAGCCCCAGGGACTCCGGCTCCCTCCCAAATTCTGCCTCTGATATCGGGGTGACCTTAGGCCCCCCACATGGGATTGCAGAGGCTTTACCTCCCCACACCCCTTTCCCACTATCACAGAGAAAGAAGCAGGACCTGGATCCCGGATCAGAGACGTCACTAAGACCCCCTGCGGGTGAGGGGTTGGTTAACCCGAGTCTAATTCTAAACAAGACAGCCCACATGCATACTTCCGCTCTAGAGACACATGATTTTGCATCCATTTGTTTTCTCTTCCAGATTTCAGGAATTGGGTTTGTCTTCAGGACAGACCTGGGGCTGTGTGAGGGGTGCAGGAAAGAACCTGGTTGGTAGCAATCTTACCCTACAAACATGCACAGGATCTGCAATCCCACTCCTGTGCCCCACACCTGAGGTTCTACCCTGCCCTCTTCCTGTGACACAACCAGCTCATCTTTCACCTTTCTCATATGTGTGCACATATACATGTGTGTGCACGTGGATACTTATACACATTCAGTGTATACCATGCACGTACATAGGAACATGTATGTGTGGATGCACATGTGTATACACGTGTGTTTATATGCATGGGTATGCATGTGCAGGCTTGCAGTGTGTGTATGTGTGCATATGCACCTATGTGTATATGTACTCACATGCATGTATATGTTCATTATGAATAATTGTATAGTTCTTCACAAATGACAGAAAACAATCCTCCATCCCAAGAAATTCTGTTCATTTAAAAAAATTTTAATTTATTTTCACTTTATTTGAAAGGCAGAGAAAGAGAGATAGAAAGACATTCTCCTTTTGCTGGCTCACTTTCCAAATGTCCCCAAGAACTAGGTCTGGACTGTGCCAAAGCCAGGAGCCCAGCACACAATCTGGGTCTCCCACATGGGTGATAGCAATCCAGGTACTTGCGCCACCAGCTGCTGCCTCCCAGGGTGCGCATTAGCAGGAAGTCTGATTGGAAGCGGAGAACGGGGATGTGAACCCAGACTCTCCAGTATGAGATGCAGGCATCCCAAATGTGCCAAATGCTCACCCTCGCTGTTTATTTTTAGACACAGTGGAAATTATACTTTATATAGAAACTTATTTCCCTCTTTTTGCATTGTTACTTTCTAGTTTTTATCATCATCATTTTAAAGGTCTGTATGTTCAACCACTAAGTAGATAGAGGCAAAATATGGCCAACCACTTCCTTTTGGTTTTAGCTTATTTTCATTTTAAAATATTGTTTTGTATTTTGTAACAATTTATTTGTGTCTTGATTTAAAGTTCTATCCTTAGATAATATTTGTGTTATGCTCCACACAGGTGTGTTCACACAGAGACCTACCTTGAGTTAGACAACCAGAGACACATTGTCCCATAAGAAAACCCACCGACCCTGCACGTGGACCACTTTCAGCTGCCCCTTGTCACCTGCTGCTATGGCTTGGAAACTAGCCTGCATGTCCTCCAAAGGCCCAGGTACCCTAGCACCTAGCACCCAAAGACCTCGCACTGGGCTCACTTCCTAGCTGCCAATATTAGATCAAGTCTCTGCCCTTAACCCATTAGCTTTTTCTGAGATTATTATTCTGTTATGACTTATTTCCAGATGTGAATTACTGGATCAAAAGGAATGAGTATTTGAGCGTCTCTTGACACATATTCCCTCATTACTCTCTTATACTGTCACCAGCGTGTGTAGAAAAGGATCCACTTTAACAATGCTCGCCAGCTTTGGGTATTCACAGGAAAAATTCTGTTGCTAGTTGAGCGAGCAAACAAACAAAATGTTACCTCACTGCTGTGGTTGGCTCCCTTCAACTACTAATGAGTTTTATGTGTTATTCAAGGCTTATTTCCCAATTTAATTTCCTCATCCATGGTATCTCTGAGCGTTCTTTGTCACTTGATTTAATAGGGACATAGTGTATTTTTTGTCACTTTTGTGTGAGTTCTTTGTAACACCATTTGGTCACATATGCCATGTTATCTCCTTAAGTGTGCAGATAACCCTTTGTAATTTTCATTTTGTTTTGGATTTTTAGGCACAGATGATTCAGTTTTTATTTAGCCCACATTTGTTTTTTTGTTTTTTTGTTTTTTTGTTTGTTTTTTTTTTTTTTTTGCTTCTAAGTGTTGAACAACCAATATCCTTGCCAGAATTTGGCAAACATTCTATTTGCTTCTATTTCTTATTAGCTGATAGATCTAAAACTTCACTCTTTAATTCACCTCTGATTTTTGCATTGTTGTAATCTATGATCTAAAGTACACACATCATTTCCGTTGAAAGCCAACTGTTTATTAATTAGTAATTAATCAATTTTATTAATTTTCCCCTTCCTGCTGAATCCGAATCATCACTTAGCAGAGGTATCACACGCTCTTATAAGTGCAGTAGGAACTGCGAGCCAGACAGGCAGAGGAGAGGCGGGAGGCAGACAAACAGGACCCCATCAAGACCCATTGTCCTCACTACGTGTCCTTTGTCGCCCTCTACTGGAAGCGCTCTCAGCAGCTGTTGGAAATCAAATGAGAGTGCACCGGCTTGCTTAGCGCCCAGAGAGGCGAGCTGGATGAGAAAGCAAGGGGAAGAGACCAGAAAGGCCCTTTCCCATGTAGAGAGAATGCTTGTTCTGAGGCTTTTAAGCTTTCACATGTCTTTAAACTTTTCCACTGTGTTGCCTCTTCCCTTTCTCATTGTGGCTTTAGCAATACAATTCCTAAGCACATTGAGCTCTAGGCTTCTTTCCTCCAGAAATGAGGAGGGAAGAACATAGGAGACTGCATTAGTGACCAAAGAGAGACGGGGAGATGAGTCAGGACACGGGGACTGGAAGAGCTGTAAAAGTAGGGGCACTTAGGGGCTTATCCCAAACCCCTGGAGGAAGCCCACCTCAGAGGCTTCTAGAGTTCTCTGATTCCTCGGCCGCCTCTGTGGAAAGGAGAGATCCTGTTCCTCTACCCAAAGGAAACACCACAGCTTTATGGACCGAGTTCGCCACCAGCAGGTGCAACCAATCTGTGTTCCTGACAGCGGCATGGAGTGAGGGTGCTCAGAAGGGGAGAGAGGACATGAGCACAGCATCCTGGGAAGTTCCTTCCTTGCTCATTTGCTTTCTTTATGGGAAAGGCAGAGACGCAGGTCGACAGGCATTTCCCCTTGGCCACTTCAGTCCCCAAATGCCCACAACAGTCAGGTGTGGGCCAAGTCAACGCCAGGAGCATGGAACTCACTGTGGGTCTCCCAGGCGGGTGGCAGGGACCCAATTCCTCAGGCATCACCTGCTGCCTCCCAGGGTGCACACAAGCAGGAAGCTGGAACTGGGAGCAGAGTCGGGACTCAAACCCAGGCACTCCCATAGGAAATGTGGTGTGGGGATCCCAAGTGGCCCGTTAACTGCTGGTGCTCAAAACCAATTTTAGGAAAAGACCTGCACCCTACCCTCATTCTGGAAAAGCAGCAATTGATACCAAGGGAAGATCAGTGCAGAGTGTCTAAGCCTCAAAATTGTTCTATTTGCCAATTATTTGTGGGTTTTGCTTAGATGTAACATTTCTACATAGAGCATCTTTTATAATTTTATTTTCTGAAAGATTTCTACTTCCATAAGGGAAATCTTTGTTGAACAAAACTAAGGACAATGACCTGAGGTTCAGTTGTGCCTATCAAGAAATGCTTGCTTTATGTGGATCACGAAGCTAAAGCCCACCACCGTTTATAAGTGTTTGCCACTTGCACAAGCCTTCCCTCCCATAGCCCCCCCATTAAATCTCACGAGCAGCCTGAGAGGCGCTCAGGCACCAGGATCTAAGGCCTTAGGTGCAAACACTTTAGCTTCGCCTTAACCTATTTCAGCCTTTTATGTCTGTTGGAGGACTGCATGGCATAAGCCACACAAAAATGCTTAAAATGGTGTCTGGCACGGGCTGATGCTCAATGAGTGTTAGCTCCGGCTGTGCCCATTTTAGAGACAAGGAAAGAGAGGCTTCGGAGACTTGTCCAAGACCCCAGAGCTAAGCAGGGTCCTCCAGAGCCCAGGAGCAGACTCTTGAACAAAACCAGCAGGAGAAAGACAGTGCGGTCACACATTCTGCCTTGTAACATCCTGCCCCTAATATCAGAGAAAACAGCGAAGAAGACCTCGGTATTACAGAGCAAGTGGCCCGGCTTCGTGCTCATCCAGGCTCCGCGAGCGCTCTGGTGACTGTCCTAGGCCTCCCCACCTCCCCAGTGTCATGCTCTTTGCCTGTAAGTGTGGATATTCATTCTTACCTAGCCTATTTCATGACAGTATTGCAATTAGAGGATAGAACACAGGAAGAAGTATTTTATAAACTGACAGAGGGCTCCATGCATCTAGTGAAGAGAAGGCAAGCAATGAAGCCTGTTCCCAACCTGTTTGTCCACCACCCCTTTAATCTCATTTCCCCCACACAGCTCCAGGAGCTGGGTCTGGATTCCCCCAAACTAAATCTAAGCACCAGAGAGGTTCAATCATTTCTGTCTGAGGATAAAAAGCAGAAGAGGGCAGAGGTGTGATTTGAAATTCGCTGGCACTAGCTCTCCTGCCGTGGATTCCTGCGCTTTTAAAATCTTACAAGGGTTTCGCCACCATGTCCTCGGGAGCTTAACGGCCCCCAGCATGGCCTCTCACTTCCAGTTTACAATGTATGGGAAAGTCCACTCTGACCTGCTGGAATCTTGGTGGCACCAACAGAATCTTGTGAAATGCAAGCACTGGGTGCCCCTGGGGAGTGGCAGGAGACAGCACTGCAGGGGGGCAAGAGGGTCCCAAGCGTGGTGCCAACTCCTCCAGCAGGAACGAGTATTAAAGTGCACAGCAGGCTTGAACGTCACAGCCAAAAGGGATCCCAGGAATCATCTCACCCCTGCCCCCCACCACACACAGGACAGCTTGACGGAGCCCCCACCCAGCCTGGAACATCAGCATTGTTCTTACCTGCAGTAGGAGACTGCAGCCAGGATGGAGGAGGAGATGGGCCAGCCTCAGCAGCCGGTTCTCAAGTGGGCAGGCAGCCCCCACTTCACAACTGTCTTTTCCCATTGGCCAACGCAGCGGGGGTCAGAGGACGATGGGCGGGCACATTGCCCCCTGGCGGCTGTCCCGGGTCCCCACCCCAGGGAACCTGGTGCAACCCAGCTTGGGCTTGGAAAGCCAAGTGGAGCTTCAGTCAGATTCCCAGGCATTGGTCCTATGTTTCCCTCCCACAACAGCAACGGAAGATGGGGTAAGGGTCAAGACCACAGCAAGAAAACAAGATATTTCTGCACCCAAGAGAGAAGCTTTCTCATGTACAATGAATTTTCCAGTGGTCCAGGGAGCCTTTCTCCCATAGATTTTTTTTCCCCAAAGACTCAGGGACGGCCAATATGGCTCCGTGTGCATGAGTAAGTGTGAGACTGAGTTTTGGGCACTGAGCACTCCAGAGGCGGAAGCATCAGAACGGCTGCGACATGGGACGAAACTGGACACATGTGCCACCCCCACGCTCAGACTCTGCGTTTAGGAAAGACCTTGAGTGTTAATCACAAGAACTGATGTGCAGAGAAGTCCCTGGGGGGCCCCCGTGTAATTCAAATCTAATCGAACAGAACATCTACGTACAATGTGATATTGGAAAATCATCTTCCAAGATTTTTGGTTCCAAAATTCAGGATAAGACTTTGGAAGCTAACTCTGTGGTGTGTGTGGGAGCCCCCACTTTGCCAGCACCTTGTCCCTGATCTGCCTACTGGGGAAGCCAGCTGGGGGAGACTGGAAGCAGCCTGGGGGTCCAGCAGCTCCAACCTGTTAAGTGTCCTAGAAAAGGCTTGGGCTTGGAGCAGACACATTCAGCACCTGAGGCTCTTTCTTGGCAAACCCGTGTCTCGTTTCTGAGGGGTGGGATCAGAGCCGGTGCTTGCAAACCACAGATTCTATTGAAATCAATAATGACTCTGGCCAGGGCTCAGGATGCCAGCAACAGTTTCCAAAGGACTTTCAGCAACTGAATGTTCTTAGGCAGAGGCTGGGCAAGTGCCTGCCTGTCGCCAATGGCAGCCTCCGCTGGCCACAGACAGCCTGAAAGTCCATCAGTAAAGACAGCGCTTTCTCCGGAGCCAAGGCCTCCTGCTACTACACAGATATTTCTAGAGAAGTGACCTGATGCCACTGAAATTTTCCAAGGGCCCCTGACTTACTAAGGCCCTAGGAAAAGGGTTCTGTGTAGTCTAGCGTGCGGGTTGGATCACAGAGAAAACAAAGAAACTGCAGTGAATCTCAATTCGATCATCGTTCATTTTTATTGCAGCATTTTCTTATTTACTGCTGGGTCCCGTTACTGTCTGCTGTTCCGTATTGGAATGTTGACTTCACAACAGCAGGGGCTTTGCTTAGTTTTAAAAAATAATCTTATAATTCCATTTTGCTTTTGAATTAAGATTATTTATTTATTTAAAAGCCAGAGTTACAGTGAGAGAGGGAGAGACAGAGAGAAAGAGATCTTCCATCTGCTGGTTTGCTCCCCAAGAGGCTGCAACAGCCAGGGCTTAGCCAGGCTGAAGCCAGGAGCCAGGAATTCCACCCAGGCCTCCACATGGGTGCAGGGACCCAAGCACTTGGGCCATCTTCTGCTGCTTTCCCAGGTGCACTGCCAGGGAGCTGGATTGGGAGCAGAGCAGCCGGGACTCAAAGTAGCCCTCTGATGTGGGATGCCAGCATTGCAGGCAGCAACTTAACCCAGCAGCCGCAGGCACAGCTGGGCGTTCCCTGTTGTAAGTGCCATCCCCTGGAACCCGTGTGCCCTAGGACCTGATCTGAGGTAAGCAATGCTAAATGTGAAGTCAAGGAATACATGACCGTATTCCACCCACCCTCGGAGACAGCTACGATTATCCCCGATTTCACAAATAAAGAATCCAGAGTTCCAGGATGATTAGCAACTTGTTGAAGACAAAGATAAAGATTTGAACCAAGATCTGTCTCATTACAACACCCATAGGCTCTCCAACATCTCATGTCCTTCACCCTTCTGGTGGACGGTGAGACCCCGACACCCATGGGTGCTTCAGGGTAGCACTAAAACTATGTAACGCGAACTCTATGGGAATGCAGCTCGTTCGGGCAGCCTTTAACTATTGCACAAGGTGGAATGACTTTAACCCCCAAATCATGCCGCGACCGTGTTGGGTCTGGCTGTCGGCCAGTGGCATTGTGCAAGCCTGTCATTTTGTGAGGCCTCAGGCAGAGCTGCCAGCTCCCACAAAGGCTGTGATGTGGAAAGAGGCATTTCCATGGCACACTGGTTTACGAAGTGTTACTAAGGAATATTCCACCACGAATGCCTTGAGGCTAGCCTTTCTCCCAGGACAGACGTGTTAATACCTGGAGTGAAACAGCCACGTAGATGTGATCCTTTCCTCCTGACACCATGGCTGCACTGCGGTGACCCGTCCACCAGCACGTGCCTCGGATACTGAAACAACAGGCCGACTTCCTCAGTTTCCCTGAAGTATGGCTCTGTGTTGCCATGTATTTTTGCATGATCATGATTTTTTTAAAAGATTTTATTTATTTATTCGAAAGTCAGAGTTACACAGAGAGAGAAGAGGGAGGGAGGGAGGGAGGGAGAGGGGGAGAGAGAGAGAGAGAGAGAGAGAGGTCTTCCATGTGATGGTTCACTCTCCAATTGGCCACAACAGCCGGAGCTGCACCGATCTGAAGCCAGGAGCCAGAAGCTTCTTCCAGGTCTCCCACATGGGTGCAGGGGCCCAAGCACTTGGGTCATCTTCTACTGCTTTCCCAGGCCACAGCAGAGAGCTGGATCAGAAGAGGAGCAGCCGAGACTAGAACCTGCGCCCATATGGGATGCTGGCACTTCAGGCAAGGGCCACAACCCGGCTGCGCCACAGTGCTGGCCCCAAACATGATTTTTTTTTAAAATACAATCAGCTGAAGTAACTAAATACGGTAACTGACTGACTAAAACAGAAGACTGGAGCAAGACGGCCAAGGGAGCGCACCCTACAGCATTCCATTCCTTCCTCCAAATCCTGAGAAATGGCAGGAAAGGAAGAAGTGCCTTTATCTTGCCCAAAGGCTCGGTAGCAATTGCACTTCATATAAGGCAACCACAGATGATAACTTAAGTCTCTGTTTTGCCACCTGTGCTTTGTATAAATTATTACCCACTTCCCCTGGCCAGACAACCATCACTGGTTTCAGTCCAGCCAGTTGAGATAAGGAAGTTGGAAGCCCATGGCCTTGGACCACTGCTGGTATCGGAATACTGTACCAGCCGAAGAATTTGTTGCAATCCTTTGGGAGAGGCTAGAGAAGCGATGGGAAGGAGACGCTGTGGCCGGAGGGCAGGCGCAGCTCCTGTCGCTGGGTTGCAGCCCCTGAGCCTGCACTCACTGTTCTCCCTGCTGGTGACTTCACTGCACTGATCAGGAACAACACCATGCCACCGCCACGGGTGCTCTCTGAAACAGAACAGCTCCTCTTTCTTCCCCATTTCAACTGCAACTGCGTGATTATCTCTCATGTGAGAATCCAGCTGATTCCACCTGGCCGAGGACCCTGGGGTATGTCATTCCAGACATCCCTCTCCAGGAATATAAAGAGTGACTCTAGGGCTAACCACCAGCAGGCAAGATCTGACGTAGGCCACAGCTTTCATGACTGGAAACAAAGCTAATAAGAATAAGGCTTAAGAAAAGGGCAACTACTCTACCTAAAGTAGTTTTAAGATATATGCATCCAGGCCGGCGCCATGGGTCACTAGGCTAATCCTCCGCCTGCGGCGCCGGCACCCCAGGTTGTAGTCCTGGTCAGGGCACCAGATTCTATCCCTGTTGCTCCTCTTCCAGTCCAGCTCTCTGCTGTGGCCCGGGAGTGCAGTGGAGGATGGCCCAGTTCCTTGTGCCCTGCACCCGCATGGGAGACCAGGAGGAAGCACCTGGCTCCTGGCATCAGATCGGCAGGCATTTGGGGGGTGAACCAACAGAAAAAGAAAGACCTTTCTCTCTGTCTCTCTCACTGTCTAACTCTGCCTGTCAAAAAAAAAAAAAAAAAAAAAGGTATATGAATCCAAATAGGTTAGGCTATGAGAATCAGCATACATGAAGGTAATTAGTGTCTGTTTTGTCTACAGCAGAAAGGGAAGATAAAGTCCTGGTTTTGGTCACCACGTTTGTGGTGGTTTGTTGTGGCAATCCTGGGAACCCAACACAGGGAACCCAGGCTAGATGAAGAGTTCAACACAGGAGACGCTCTACGATACCAAAAGCAGGATGCATTAAAGAAAACAATCAATAAAGGAGACTTCATCAAAATGAAAATTTCGAAAGACACTGTCAAGAGGATGAAAAGGCAATCTACAGATTGGGAGGGAATATTTGTAAAACATATATATGACAAGGAATATGTATCTAGATTGCATAAAGAAATATTTAAAATAAGTGGTTAAAAATTCAGTTAGAAATGGGCAAAGGACATAAATACTTCAGCAAATAGGATATACAAATGGCAAATAAACACCATGGAAAGATGTTCAATGTTATTAACCATTTGGGAAATTGAAATTAAAATCACAGCAAGTGGTATACACTGTAGTACAGCAGGGTAAGCTGCTGCTTGGGACACCCACATCCCGTACCAGGATGCCTGGGGTATAGTCCCACCTCCACTGCTGATCCAGCTCTCTGCTAATGTACACCCTGCGAGGAGCAGATGGTGGCCCAAGTACTTGGGTCCCTGCCACCCATTTGAGAGGCTCAGACGGAATTCCTAGCTCCCAGCTTTGGCCTGGCCCAGCTCTGGCCGTTGCAGGCATTTGGGGAATAAGCCAGTGGATGGAGGAGATAACTCCTACACTCTCTTTCTCTGCCTTCCAAATAAGCAAATAAACATTTTTTAAACCACAATGAGATATACTACCTACCTATTAGAATGACTAAAATTTAAAAATAGTGAGATATAGTATAATGGTGGACACATTTCATCACACAATCGTCAAAGCCCAGAGAATGTACAATACTGAGAATGAACTCTAAACTATGAATTTTGGCAATAAAAAGAAAATGTTGGAAAATAGAAAACATAAAATATTTTAAAATTA